TTGTGGTTAACAAATCAACTTTCTTTTGTGTATGAGTGTGCCACTGCTAGCTGTTTAAAACCCTAGCAGACTTCTAAAAAATAGGTAACTTGCGCCCCAAGTTACTGATTCTAAACAAGCAATTGCGAATTTGGGTGATGAATATCTCCCAAGTAAGTTCTTTTCTTGCTTTAGACTGGCGAGGACTTCAAAAATTTTCATAGTATAAAACTGGTAGTTTTGGCCAGAAAAACTAAAAGAGAGCAAAAACTGTTTAAGCAGAATTTCCTATTACAGAACTTAAAAGAGAAACACCAAGTCCGAAAAAGACGACAAAACATTGGACTTCAATTTCTGCCTGGGTCTCTGCCTCTGAACTGGGCTGGATTGGACGTGTTATGTTGGATTGAACCATCAGCACCTTCAACTGATAGGTTTCAGCTGGAAATCTATACCAATGTTTAAATTTGGCAGAGCATCAATCTATTTCAAGCCCCGGAAGGTTTGTCAGGTGGGCGGAATTGAGGCTGCTTCAATCTAGATGGGGAAGAAGTGGCTGGATTGACGATTGCTGAGCCGGAGCTGCACTATAGTGCCTCTTCTGCTTGATCAGGACCTCTTCATAAATTTGTTGAGGTTTTTAAATTATAAAAACCCGGATTCTGCTTGACCTGGCTTGTGCTGAACCAAATTTGTAACGTGAGAAATCTCGCTTTGTGAAACTATTTCTCTGAATTGAATTGAAGTAAGAGACTTTGAGTTCTAGCAGACCTATCTCTTATGGATCAAGGGGTTTGGTTGCTTCAGAATCTGAAGAATTTTTGAGATTGATTGATTTTGTTTTGAATTTGTCAATATGACTTTGAGAGTTTTTTGTTTTTGATTTTTGTTTTTGGCTGTCCTGTACCCTATTCACCCCTTCTTATATTTATAAAGAATCTGAATGAGGTTTTTTAATATCTAGGGGCATAAAAAGAGATTTTCTATTTTCTTTTTCTAGTGCAGAGAAGTTATTAATCTGGCAGACAAAGAACCATCAATAGTCAGTTCCTGTGATGGTTTTTTTGCTTTTTTCGGGTGAATAACTCTCCTGCTTCTTGCTTATCTCTGTTGAGGTCCAAAAAATTCACGGTTCAACCCAAATGAATTCATGGCTCAATGCAATGCCTTATTAAGAAAAGACCCAATTTGGAGCATGGAAAAGTTCATCATTCATACTTGCACGAGTCATGATCCACGTGCCATGCCAAATAAATATGCAATCTGTCACGCTAAGAGTTGAAATAAGTATTGGTTCTACGAGCCCAAGCTAATTATCCCATCAAGTGCCATATCTCTCTTCAAAGCGATAAAATTCAAGCACGCCAATTGACATGCAATGCCAAGCAGTTATTTTGCACATAGCCACGCTACATGCTTAAGTGGGCCCAAGCTATGCAAATGCCTGGGGCTTGCTAAATTGGTTGTGGTATGGATGGTAACGAGCTTTCATGAGGTCCATTGATGAGCCGAGCTTTCATGAGGTCCATTCTTGAGGCCAAATATGTGGGTAAGCATAAAGAAGAATAAAAAGGGAGCCTAATACTCTAGAAAAATTAGCCCATCACCTTAATAAAATAGCCTATCACTTTAGAAAATTAGCCCATTCCCTTAATGAGTTAACCCATCACCTTAAGAAGGCCTAAGCAACCAAGGAAAATATCCGCAATCTCCAGCACTTAGCTGGAAACAAGGGCCACGATAAAAGCCAAAAATGTCCATGTATGTAAGCTACTGGGAGGCTCCAGCACATGGGTAAAACAAACCTCAAGGTAGAACATTCAAAGAACCAGAGGGTATTAGCGCGCGCAGGTTGCTAGGAGAAAAGACACCTTTCAAACTAGAGCCCTTGCCTATTTCTTTCTCCCACCAGCTCTTGCCATGAAAGAAGGAAGGAAAACAGGTAAGGTGATAGCCAAAAATAGGAGTTCGTTATTGAAGTAGCTGCGGGAAAGCCTTAGAGCTCCCAAAAATCTTGTCTTTGTGTGTTTGGACAGAGGAAGATTTCGCAAAATGGGATGAGTCAAAGGGAGAGAAGAGAAATGAAAGGGGAGACTTGGCAAAATTCGAGAGAAACCATTAGGGTTTCTTGGAAAGGAGGATCTTCCAGCGGCTATAAAAAGGGCCAACTCCTACACATCAAAAAGATAGATCCAGAGGGCAAATTTCATCTCTCCTCCCATTTTCACTTCTGGTAAATCATTCCAGAGCTTGACAGAGCTTTCGTCAAGTTGCTGGAAACTACTCAACACACCCATTGTTATTCCCCCATCTCTCTCTCTTCAACGAACCCTCTTAGGATCCCTCCCCCCTTGCCTCTGTTTCTCATACGAACTCACAGCTCTCTCTCTTTTTAATGCTAAACTCATAACTGCTTTGCTTCTATGCCACAAGCTTATCATGTCAAGCTAAGAATCTATCTGTAAGACATTGTTGGTTTCATTGGTGAATGAGACCAAAGTGTTTCCTAAGGCTCAACTATCTTTTCGAAACACTCTTGGGGTCTGATCCTTGAACTCAGACTCAAGGTTTAGGGGCAATTTCATACATTTAGCTCTTTACAGCAGCTCAGGCCCATCAGTAGCTGGGGGAACGAAAAAGCCCCTACAATCTCTTGAAAATGTAACTTGCTTATCTCTTGAAAATATAATACGCTTTGGTGCAGAGCTTCTCTGCACATGGAGAGGGGATTTGATCTTCTTTTCCTGGTTTTTTAAAATGGAGAAGGTTTTTCAAAAAAATTGTCTTCATTAACTCCCTATCACTTCCTCTATCTTAGTTGAGAATTTTGACTTTTTCAAAGTCAGAAAGTCACGTGGGGTTGCTTTTGAGAAAAAAAATCCTTCAACCAAAATTTTTTCTGATTTGCACTTTTGGGGTTAAGATCAGATGGTGAGAGTTTTTAGAAGTTGGGCCTTTTGATCAAAAGCTGGGTGTGTCAGATTTAATTGCCAGTAATGGTAATTAATTTTTTAGACTATGGTAATATTTGTAATCTGCCCAAAAAATGGTCTGGGCCATCTCAGCATTTTGGGTTGATTTCCAATTCCAATAGATGCAAAGCCCAATTGGTTTTTTGTTGTTATGGGCCTTCTAACAAAATGGGTTGGCATGTAGAATTTTGGCCCAAACAGTTTCTGGTATGAAGTTATGAGCATTTAATCATCCCATTTTCAATTATCTCTTTCTCCTCCGTCCTCAGGTACACCTCTGCCACTCTCCGCTAAAGGTGTCAAACAGGCCGTGCCGGGCCAGCCCATCCCATTTAAACTCGTGCTTTTAATGTTTTTGTGTCGAGCCGTGCCGTGCCAACCCATTTAGTAAAATCATTGATCCCAGCCCAGCCCAAAGCCTATGTCCATATTGAAACAAGCCGGGGCAAGCTGGGCTCGTGCCGTGCCCGTACTTATGCTCGTGCCATACTCGGGCCCAAGAACCAATCCATGTAATTTGAATTTTTTTCCCTTCATTTTTTTTCCACTAGATAATTCAAATTATAAACATTAAAAATATAATTAGAGGCAAAAAATGATGAACTATTTGAAAACATTAATCAATCAAACATCCAAACAAATATGAAATGGCA